TTCTTAAGTTTGTTTTCCCTTTTACAAGGCGGAAAAAAAAAAAAAAAAAAGGAGGTGGTGAATTATTCAGCCTCTGGGGAGATTTCAGTGTGAGCGTTCGGGGTTTTTAGGTGAATTACGCCACGGTTTGAACATACAGATTCGTTGGGGAAATAGGAAGCACCTACCTTTCTCCTCTGGCTTTGCAGCATCTGTTGGCAAATTTGGTCAGTATAACCCTAAATTTAACAGCGGTTGGTAGTGCAAACTGAATGGACCTCCTAGAGTGACAGGGGGAACACAGAGAGAAGCACAAACCAGAATGGGGAAGAAGGGTTTCTTTTCCCCGGTATCATCTGTAAGTAAATGCTCTGCAGGGATTTTGGGCAGGCAGAGATCTGCTGGGTTTGTGAGGAGATTGGGGATGAAGGATTAGGCTCTTCGCTGGGATGGCTCCATGCCCATCAGCCAGTTTGCTCATGGAAATCCCACCACAGAGCTGATACACTTGTTGCTTCGCTACTGGATGGTTCAGGAAACACCACACTGGGACATGTTTTCCAGTGGGGTTTTGAGCCGTGGGGGATGAGATGGGGAAGCCATTCACATGGGCATCTTCTGCTAGGACATGCCAGTGGAGGTTCTGAGGCTGGAGCTTTCAGGAGAAGGATGTTCCCCAATGTGTCTTCATCAGTGTTGTCTTATGTGACATACTGACAAGCTTTTGGACAGATGCCTGAAAAAAACTCTTATCCTGGCCTCAGTAGGATGTGATCACATCCCTTCCACCATTCATGGGAAAAAGGGTTTGGTTGCAAATCACCTTCTCAAAGGGCATCCTTTTTTACTGAACTTCTCTTGTGTCTGGCATGTGTGTCACTGCTATTGGCTGCAGCAGCAGCTCTCTCACAGCGTGGGGGAGAGTGGAGCTGAAGGCTTAGAGCTCCAGGTACGAGCTCGGTGAGGGTGGATGGGACTTCCCTAGCAAATACAGCATGGTTGGTCTGTTGCTATAAAATGATGGCAGCTGTAGGATCCTCACTGTGTGCCAGGGTACAAATTCCTTTTAAGCAGATGTAAAGAATGAAAAACACCCAAACAAGGAAAAGCACCCAAATGTCAACGTTATCTACTGTGTGCATAGCTGGTGAACATTGCTCTCCAAACAGGCCTGTCAATGGTGACTTTGTCACATTGCATGTGTTCATGCACAGTCTTTGGTTTGTACCTTGTGTCATTTTCATTTCATTCATTAAGCTCTTATATGTTTCAATGCTGTCAGCTTCCCTTCAGGGGCTACTGTGCTGGGTTTGGGCCCAATAGGAATGATTCACTAGCACTAAAACTACTTGGCTACTTGGAGTTTTTGGAATAGTGGGCCATAACTGAAGGGATTTTTTTTTAGCCCTTTCTGCCATCTAGTGCCCATCTCCGTCAGTGCAGGTAGACTCGGGAGACCCCAGGGTCTCAATTCCATACCCTAAACTGAGCCTAGAGGCCTGGGGAAGGGACCCGAATTTCAGAAGCAGTGAGCAACTCTCGCTGGGCCCAGGGATGGAATGTGATTTTCAAAATTGTGGCTACAAGGATTTGTGTTTTCAAAATCTTTTTTTCTTTTTAACCAGCTGTGCCATAGCTTTAATCAAATACTGTAATTTGCAGGCCCTACAGTTAAAGTTGGATGGTTCTTACGTGGTGTAATCAAAACTTGAGCCCATTCCAAGGGGAACGTAACAGATCAACAAAAGGGTTAAAGTAACTTGTCTGAACTTTGTGCTTCTTGGGGTTCTGGACTTCCACTTTGCTCTCCTAAGCCAAAACTTCTCTTTCTTGTCAACAACAAGTGGAGGTGGCAAAACAAAGTTTTTATGCAGTAATGTCACCTGTAAGTTTTATTTGCCTGCCCTGGCAAAAGAACAACCAAGTGAAAACAGTAACAAGAGAATTGTGGTGTTTCCCCCAACACATTCACATACAGTCTTCTGCCTCTGCTCACACAGAGCTGCAGACCTGTCTACCTTTCCACAGTGGCCTAGACTATCTTCATAGTTGATGTTGGAGGACACTGACATCTTCCTGACAGATGCTTGTTCTTGCACATAGAATCTGGGAAGAGAGAAATAAATTCTGCAATGTAGCCCTAGTCCCTCCTACCAGTCTGTTCAGGTGTGCTTTTTCTCTCATCAGACTGCAACAAATCTCCCTTCTAATGACTCTCTTACTTCAACTTTTCCAGCATGGATGGAGAAGAACCAGGCAAAACCAGGAGCACTTATGTCTGCTTTAGGGGGAGTGGGACAAGCATCAAGAGTAATGAAGTTCTGCTATGCTGTCTGCTGACAGTCTACCCTCCTTGTGCTAGGTGCTCTCTCTTCAATAATGAAAAATAACCTAGTAGGTGGCCGACAGGAGCCAAAACATACCCAATTTATCCACTTGTCTCTGCGTGTGTCTCAAAAACCCAGGCCTGTACATCTTCCTCATCCAACCGTCTACCAGCACACACGCTTCAGATATTCACCCACTCCAGTGATCATCTTGCCACATCTGGGGGCTACTTCTCCATCCCTAACTCCTCCATTTCTCCTTGTTTCCTTTGCTTTGTACCAGGCCTGCCAGTGTCACCAGGACTAGCGCAATGCTCTGTGTAGGTGTGAGGCAGATTAATATGGCAAAGCATAACACTGACTATGGTGTGAAAGGGTTAGCCATGTATGCCATGTGGTATAGTACAGCAGCAACACTTTGTTATGCATACAAATACTAGCAACATAATCAATCACAGATACATCTCATTGTGCTCTCACAACATTCTCCGGGGGAGGGGGATTTACAAGCTGTTCTCCCCCTCCACCAAAGCAGGCAGGCTGGAGGTAAAGCTACCCCAGCTGGAGGAAAACAGTAGGAACCTAGAAGCTTGGTCTAGTGCAATGGAGTCTATGGAGCATATTGTTCAGTATTTCCTGTTGGGCAGAAAGGAGAGACTGGGACATTACTAAACATAAATAGCAGGGCGCTCTGTCACATTAAATACTTTACATGTTCACACCCTTGGCTGTACACAGCATACAGGATGTTGGGGCTTTTTTATTTTCCCCAAGACTGTGCTTTTCCAAAGTGAAACCGTGTACCTTGCTTTTGTAGAGCTGACAGTCCTGATGCACATGGTTACAGATCACATATACTGGATAAAGAGGGAATATTATACATAGTGGGAAAGAGGAATATTATACATAAATGTAAAAGCAGGGTATAGTGGAATTGCCTAGTGCCTCCCATAGTCAGCTGAGTTGCAGTCTGGCAGGAAAAGCTTACGGAGGCAAGGCAGCATGCAGATTTCTGCTTAAGCCCCACCAGAGGTGATCTTCACTTGTCCTTCTGAAATGTCCTGGTTTCAATAAAGCGAATGCAAATTCAGTCCAAGGCTCCCCAGACTCAGTCCTTCCTCTGGAGGCACATGTGTTACCCTGCCAGCGCTAACAGTAAGGTGTGGTGGGGCTGTGTCACAGGGGTGTGTCTTTGTTGTCTTTCCCATTCAGAAGCAAGAGGTGAGCAAGTTCCTCTTGGGGGCTGGTGTGCTTTTCACAATCTTCTTTTGTTAGGAATGTACTGTGTTCTCTGTGACAGAGCCACCTCCAGTGCCTATAAAATTTTGGGAGTTAGCCGATGGCAGGGATGGCTCTGCCTCAGGGCTTGGTACCTCTTCCTTGTTGTCTCCCACCACTGACTCCTGCGAGCTGGTCTCCGCGCTGGACGCTGCCTGGAAGGCAGGCTCAGCACTGAGGGGCTCGTTGATCTGCAGAGGAAGCAGGGCCCGGTGCCGCATCAGACTGTCATCGCTGTTCTGGGCCTCCAGTGAGTTCCTGCGCTTGGCGTTCCTGTTGGCCATGGCATTCTTCTGTGGCTCCTCAAAGCTCAGCGACAGGGTGACCGTGCCGCTCCCGAAGCTGACTTTCTGCTTGCACCCACGCTGCTGCTGGCGCTGCCGCTCGCCGCTCGGCAGAGGCTGGGAGAGGAAAAGGGTCCTCGTGGTTGCTCTTGCTGCTGATGGAGGAGGAAGGGGTGGAGCCGGTGGAGCCCCCCAGGCTGTTTGAGCGCTTGCGGGACACGTTGCTCCGTCTCAGCGTGGCCCTGGCGGCCACTTTGAAAGCGTGGGCGGCTGTGCTGCAACGCACCTCCTCTATCGTGTTGCGGGAGGGCTTGAAGAGGATGATGTAGACTTTATTGAAGAAGATGCAGGCCAGGAGCCCAAAGCTAGCAGCCAGTATCGCGATCACCTCCACGGCAGAGACGAACTTGCCATATGTGCTGGCGTAAGCAGGGATGAAGGAGATCCACACAATGAAGAATATCAGCATGCTGAAGGTGATGAACTTGGCCTCGTTAAAATTCTCAGGCAGCTTTCGAGACTTGAAGGCGAAGAAGAAACAGATGGCTGCCAGGAGGCAGGTGTAGCCAATGAGGAAGCCGAGGGCCATCAGGGAGCCTTCGTGGCAGGTGATGAAGATGATCTCATCCTCCAGTTCATGGTTTCGGTAACTGGATGGTGGGGCCGTATAGAGCCAAATCACACAGATGACAATCTGCACGAATGTGCACAAGAAGACCAGGAGGAACTGGAGGTTGAGACCCCACCACTTTCGGTGGAGGCTTGTGGGGATCTTTGCCTCAAAGACAAGCAGGACACGGTTGGTTTTCACCAGGATGCAGGAGATGCAGAGGACAAAGCTGATGCCAAAAGCTGGCTGCCGCAGACGGCAAGTCCAGTTCTGGGGCTCACCAATGAAGAACAACGAGCTGGAGAAGCAGCAGAGCAAGGAGAAGAGGAGGAGGTAGGACAGCTCCCGGTTTGTGGCCTTGACAATGGGTGTGTTGCGAAATTTGGTGAAGACTCCCAGGACAAAAGAAGTTAGGAAAATTCCCAACACAGCAAAGAGAGTCAGAGCGATCCCAAAGGGCTCAGTCCAGGCCAGAAACTCTATCTGCTTGGGAATGCAGGATGTGTGGTTCTCATTGGACCAGTAATCCTCAGGGCACTTATCACAGGCACTTGCATCTGAAAAAGAAGTGACAAAGAGAGGGATGGTTTGTCAGAATGAGAGAATGAAATATGGGATGACATAAATGGCAAGCTAGCACCAGCCTTCACCGGTGCACAGCCTTCACCACTCAGGTGTTTGCAGATCTCCAGAATCACATGTTGGTGTCTCAGAGTATTTTACACTGAAACAAACAACCTCCCACAGGCTATGTAGCAAAACACAAAGTATGATTAGTTCCAGCTTATAAAAAGTCCTGTCTCTGCACTCCTGTTTTTGTATCTGTTCCTTGGCAAAACTTTGCAAACTTTGACTGCTATCAGCTGTTACACAGGCTCTGCTCCTTCCTCTTCCTTGTTCCTTCATTTTTATCATCTACTTCTGTCTGCCTTCATACCTCTCACACTTTTATCATCATTTAACATCCCACCTTTGCCTATTACAGAGAAAATTAAAAATGTGCTTCTTTCCTTAAATGCTTTGAAAGCCTATTTCATATTCCATGGGGGCAAGTCTTAAAAGTGTTTAAATTGCTCTTCCCTGAAGGCAGGCAATGCCCTTTACTCCCAGCACACTCTCATTTCATGTTGGCACAGTGGGGGAAGATGTCTCTTAATGATTTCACTCCCCCCTCACTCAACAAATGTCCCACTGATACTTGCAAAGGGAAAATTGGTGCCTCCATCTCCTTCCTCTACATGCAACTAGTTGTGCCTACTGGGATGCCAGTGGTTGGCATGATCAAAAGGCAAGGACCTCCTGTTTTTCCTCTTCTTCTTTGACCCAAATGGGTCTTGTGGTCCAGTTGGGAGGGTCATGACTCCTTTGATAGCAGAGGAAAGTGATTGAGAGTAGAGAGCTTGGAGGTTTCAACCTACCTCAGTCTTTGGGATCCTAGCAAGATAGCAAGGGGATGCAGGGAATTCAGGGAACGAACGTTCAGAAACTCTTTTAGCAGCAAGCTCCCTCTGAACTTTGCACCTGAGCACGGACACAGACTCCGAGCATAGCTTCCAGAGCAGAGATTTATGCTAATGAGAAAGCTAGGAATGCCCAGCTAACAAGGGCAGAAGTTTTCAAGCTTTCTTGCTCTTGAGGCATGGTTGGAGTGAGCATCCATGACCTGGTATGATACTGTTTTTTGAAGGACTGTTTGCCTCACCTAAGTTGTTCATGTGAAAACTTGGTACTAGATGCAAAAGCTCAGCCAGAAGCTCTCATCACCATGACATTTCATTTACATCCATTCAGCCAATAATTTTTATTTTTTGTGTGCCTTCTACTTGGAAGCCTATCACAAATCACAAACCGCAAACTGCAGGCAAGGCAGGGAATTCAGTCACCTCTGCTAGAGACAGAGGCAGCTATTTAGCACTGCATCCTAAAGGTGTGCTTTCACTGCTGTCTTGTGGTGGCTTAGAGACCATGCTGCTGCCACCGAAGGGAGTACACCAGATCTTCCTCCTCCGTTAAGGCTGCTCATTCCTGCCCCCTCCTTTGTGTTAGCACTAGAGGGCATAGAGCTACACGTTCTAGCTGGAAACAGCCTGCCAAGGGTTTCCTTTCAGGAAGACCAGAGACCCGATCCAACTTGCCCTATGGGCACATGAGTACTAGCACTGCTCCCAAAGGGTGGAAGCAAACAGCTGGGAGAGGACAGATTGTTTCCTCTGGTAGCATTGCTGTCTCAGCTGGATGGGACTGGTTGTGAAACTGCTCTCTATGCCTCTAAAACTGGCAAGCACGGGAAAGACAGACCATTACTGTCAGCTGAAATTGCAGCAGGCAACTGTGGAGCCAGAAGGCTGTCACCCCCTCAGCCCCACAAACTTCATTAGCACACCAGGGATAGCTCCTGAAATCATGTGAAAACCAGCAAAAGACCCCTGTTACATGTGACTAGAATTGCTCCTATCTGATTTGAAAATATACTTTCAAGCATCCGGTGGTACTATATGCTCATGCTAAAAAATTATCATTCCTGTCTGATAGCACACAAATTAGATTTTCCCAAAGAATACTTGTTCAGTTTTGCAAGCAGTTTACTGAATTGTTTATCTTGGACAAGATCTGCAGTATTCACTGGGACCAGTGCTCTGGAGAGGGTGTGAGGAGATCTTGAGTGCTCTGCAGTGTGGAGGGGACTGCTGTTCTAAAATAATTTACTTCCCTTAATTGCCCTGGGGATGCCCAACACTGAGGGAGCACTAATGGTGCTGGAAATTGAAAATTTTCCAACCATTTCTAAAACTGAGGTTATCTTTTCCCTCCACTGCAGAACCTGAGTGGCTTGATCCAAGGCCCACTGAAACCAACAAAAAAGATGTCCATGGGTGTTTGATAGGACCCAGAGATTCTGATCTTTTGTAGTGCCAGTGATTAACAGAAGCTGTGGTTGGTGACTCCCTAAAGGGAAATATTCCTCTCTGCTTGTGAAGTATGGGATGGATTTTATTTCTTTGTAAAGCATGAAACAAAGCCCTGATAATGTGAGGAAAAGATGGAGGCAGACAGATAACTACCTAATGTAGGATTAGGGTAGGGAATGTCTCCTTCCAGGTTTTTGGAGCAACGAAAGCTACAGTGTGATGGAGTTTGCTTGTGGCTGCCTGAGATGCTTCCTCTATGCAAGTTGTTTTTCAAGTTCTCTGCTTTAAATTGCCTAATGCAGAGCAGAATGGACAAGCAGACTTAGCAGAAGACAGGACCTGAGGACCACAGGACTCAACTCCTGTAAGCTTTTCACAAGTCCCTCCAGACTTTCTGTGAACCCTCCCAGCAAGGCAGCTGCCAGCTCAGCACGGCAGAGAAGTGATTTCAGCACAACTGCAGGTGATGCCCAGAGGGCTCACACCATCCTCTAGAACCTTCGAAGCAGCTCTGTGGGTATTACCTGTTTCATCGCTGTATTCCCCGTCGGGACAGTCCACGCACTCGAAGCAGCAGGTGGGCTCTCCCTCAATAATGCCCTTCCTCGTGCCTGGAAGGCAGTCCCTGCTGCAGTTAGAGAAAGGCACCTGCAAGAAAAGAGCCCGAGCAGGGTTAATGATGGCAGTGCCCCACTGGCAGCCTTTTTATGGAAAGACCTTGAGCTTCCACCAAGAGTGTTACTGCTTGATGGGCATGCAGAATTGAGAGCCTCAGACGCTCACCTCTTCCCCTCACAGAACAGACAGATTTTGCATAACAGTCCTTCCCCAACACACTGCAATGAGGTTTCTTTGAAAGACCACATTAAGGGACGGTAGAGAAGATCAGCAGATCTTCGTAATTTCACCTGTGTTGTAAGCACTGCAAACTGGTATGTGACCATGATGTCATTAGATTGTTAAAAGAAAAGACAATTGAACTCTATAGGCAGAACTTCGAGCAAGCCTTGGAGCTGATGGGCTCTCAATACTGATCCCCAATCCTATATATTGCATGTATTTGATAATATATATATATCCCATATATTGCCTATATTGCTAATAAGTTATGGGAATTAAAACAGTTTTTTAAAACCCACTTCCTCCTGTTCTCCTGAAGACCCTCTCCAACCCAGAAAAGCAACAAAAAACCCAGAAGTTTTTCATATGGAAAACTCTCATATGAAAGAAAGAAAAAAATAGCTGTGTTTTAAGAACATTGAACATCCAAACACACAAATCAGCAGCTATATGCAGATCCAAAGGCTTTCAGATTTCTGCTGTAGCAAATGATGAGCTGTGTCACCTGCTGGCTGCTCATTTATGCTGTGTGTGAGCCTACCTGGATGTGGTTGTGTCCTGGCAGCAAGTGGTTGCATGGGCATGGTCACTGCATGCCTGAAGTACACTGACACAAGGAGTTCAGCATAGTAAGTAGAAGCCTGGACTGTTTTCACACAGAATCATGACCTGAAGTCAAGCTCACCTTTTCCTAACTCAATAAGGAAGGAAAGCTGACACAGTCATGGCTTTCTCAGCTCAGGGGAGTTAAACCCACAATTTCCACTGCTAGTGAAGTACCATGATCCGTATATAGTTAAGGGCCATTCTGTTTGGAAGCCATTGTCCATCTTTTGGGAAGTTTGCTGCCAACCCCTGATCCCCAGGAACCTCCTGTGTGGATGCACTTTGGCTGTGAGTCTGGGTATGGTTTGGAAATTTCCTGTGTGCAGGCATTGACCTCAGCCACAGGGTAAGCATCGTTAATTGGACAAACACATATCCAGGGCAAATCCCTGCAGCTCCTCACTTGAAGCACTCTGCTGTTAGTGCCTACTGCTATTAATACAATGTGTCTGTTCCTTGGGACAGTCCTTCAGCAGGCAGTGCATCCATCAAGAGGACTTCATAAGAAAAAAACTAGGCTGTCGCTGAATCAAAGGCCTGACTGAAGTCATGCACTGCTTTCCCATTATCTACTAAGCTGATTGAGCTTCCAAGGAGGAAAATTAAATTAGTTTGGCATGATTTTATCTTGGCAAATACATATTGGCTTGTTCTTATCAGTTTATTATCCTCTAAGTGTTTATAAACTGTTTGTATACATATGTATTTACATATATATATTCTAATCAAGTCTTTTAGGTACTGAGGCTCAGCTCAGTTGTGTCTAATTCCCTTGGCTCTCCTATATCTGCTTCAAAACCCAAATCACAATTACTCTCCTCTAACCCTTTGAGACATCACCCATCCTCCACATTTCTCAAAGATGAATTGCTAGGACTTTTGTGATTGCTTTGGCTGCATTCTTAAGTATTCTGTGGGCAATTTCATCAAGTCCTGCCGAAATGAATCTATCTTACCTATCCTCTAACTTGTTATTTTGCAAGCCTGCCCAATGCTGAAGTTCCTGTATTAAAATTACCTACATTTAATCTTTTTTGTGAGGATGACAGAGACACAGAAGGCTTCAGCAAGTGTAGTACTGGCTACTCTCTTTGAGCAGAGCCTTTTGTCTGGAAGAAATTAGAACTCTGTAAGCTGAATAAAAGACTGCAGCAGACACTGAGATCACAAACCCCTCCACTGCACAAAATTTACATGTCCTGGTATGACACTGAGCAACATCCAGAGCCATGACACTGAGTAACATTTTTAACAGTGTAGGATGGAGAATGAAGATAAATATTTCACTGTTGGAGGAATTTTGACCAAGAGAACACAATTACTCAGTTTAAGTAAAAACCAATAAAATCCTAGCTGCTGGAAAAAGTGTAAGTTGCATTTGCAACAATCAGAAGGAGGGGTTAGAATATCAGGATTTTCTTTTAATTCCACTTGGAGTGTGTGCTCAGAGACTCCAGCTGGGCTTAGAAAAGCCTGAGCTCAGTATTTCTGTGGTACTATGCTCTACTCAATCCATACCTCCTTCAGAGTGCTCTGGATTTGAACCAGAAGTCAGAAGTGGGATACCTGGAGCAAGGTAAGGCTTAACTGTAAGTACATTAGGCAAGTGTAGCTACTGCAGAAGCAGTTATCTGATCTGGAAGCCAATGGAAGTAATCACCTGGAAGTGATTGCCTTGTTCATTAATCAGGTGCTGATTTAACACATCTAAACATTGCAACAGGGCCTGGCAATGATATTTCTGAGCTGATGCTCCACTCCTTGTGTCCTTTCTCAGACCACAAACCATATGCCTGCTCAGTATCCCCTCTGGGAGCCAGGGTTTCTGCCTAGGGTGGAGTGGGCTGCTGCCAGCTATGACAGAAGCTCACCTGGCTCTTGTCTGGAGATCTCTGCACCAGGTTCCAATCATGCGGGTAGGACACAGCCCTGGCTGCTAGTGACAATAATTATGCTGAAAAATCTAATATGCAAGAAACTGGAGAAGGACTTAGGCCTGACTAAAGTCAATCACTACATCTTGAGATCACTACTTTTGAGACTGCAGAAGCACCTTCAGGTAGATTACAAACATGAGTAGCTGGTGCTGGTATCTCCCACTACTTGAGTACCACGTCCCAGTTAACCTGGGCAGATTGACAGGGCTTGCTCTGTTTGGTTTGGAAGGCAAGGGTGTGAGGAAGGCTCTGGGACTCGGTGGATGAAGCCAGCAGAAAGGGTTGGGAATGTAGGTAGCAAGAAGAGACACGTGTAGATAGAGAGATACTAGGAGTGCAAGAGATGGCTGTTATTAGCAATGAAACTACTGAGCTCAGGAAAATTTGACTTAGTCAACGACCAGGCTTGGGTAATTAATTTCTGCTGAAACAGTGTTGCAAAATTCCACTCTATCCACTTGGGCCAGGAAAAGAACACATAATTTAAACCACTGATACCGCGGCTCAAGAAATGTACATGAAACGAGAAGCAGCTGCCGGTTATTTCCAGAAGTGTGCAACAACAGTGTGAAAGACTATGGCAGAAACCATACATACAGTAAGGTAACCAGATCTTTTAATGAGACATGGAGGCATAATAGGAGGAGCATATAGAGTTAGTTCAAATTTCAGCTTGTGGAAACTTGTGAAACATTGCTGTGAGGATTAAAGCACTTACCTCCTTAGAGAATCCACCCCACAGGATCTTGTTTTCATTGATAAAGAGCCTCTCCCCTTTCTTGGCATAAACGTTGTAGTGCCCAACCTCTTCAAAGACGACTGAGCCATCCTCCGGAGAGAGATGCCAATTGATTATTGAATAATTTCCTACCAGGTCCCCAAACTCATCAAAATCCACTTGCTCCCCCATGTTATTGGTGAAATTTAAGTGTCGCAGATGCTTGAGCACCTAGAGAGAGACAGTGAGACATGATGAATGCCTGTGTGTTACAACCCTACCACAGCACACACCTGCTGCGGGGACAGAACTGGGAAGAATCACTTCACTACAATCCTTAATCTCTTAAAAATAATTTAATCACGGCAGAAGGAGGCTTTCTCTCATTGACATCACATGCACACATGGAGCCTATACAAACCTTGTAGACAACACAAGGTATCATGGCCCTCAGGGTGGTCAGCAAACCATCCATAACACTTACTGATGCCACTCCATCAACCATTTAGCATTTCTTTTCAGTCCCTTTGAGCCACCTCTGCAAGCCCATAGCTCTTTGTCAGGGGCAGAGAAGCGGCAGCAGCCTCTCATGTATTTCAGTCACTCATGCATCCCTCTCACCCTGCTCTTGCAACCACTCTGCATAAATGCTCTCAGATGGCATCTCTCATCTCTGAATCATCAATCACTCAGAAACAGGAATGCTTGAGAAACAACTCCAGCTTGACTTTTGATTGAAAAACCACAAGCTTGGTGCACTTCAGTTAAAAACTCCAACAAATCAAGTTCATTTGTCACATGACAGGCCTGGAGCATTTTTACCACTTGTTTACTCCTCTCTCCTGGTTGCATAGTTTCAAGTAATCACATTCTGCCTATCCCCAAGAATTCACCCTGTAATTTTCACCTCGTGCCTTAAACTGTTATATAGAATTATAGAATTATTAAGGTTGGAAAAAGCCTCCAAAAGCATCAAGTCCAACTGTTAACCCAGCACTGCTGTGCTCACCGCTAAACCATGTCCCTAAGTGCCACACTCACATATTTATTGAACACTTCTAGGGACAGTGATTTCACCACTTGCCTGAGCAGCCTGTTCTAATGCCTGAGCATCCTTTCAGTGAAGAAACTTTTCCTAATATTCAATCTAAGCCTCCTCTGGCACAACTTGAGGCCTTTTCTGCTCATCCTGTCACTTGTTACCTGGGAGGAAAGACCAATGCCCTCCTTGCCACAACCTCTTTTCGGGTACTTCGTGGTAAGGTCCTGCATAAGCCTCCTTTTCTCCAGGCAAAACAACCCCAGCTCTCTCAGCTGTGCCTCATCAGACTTGTTCTCCAGCCCCTTCACCAACTCTGTGGCTCTTCTCCGAACACACTCCAGCACCTCAATGTCTTTCCTGTAGTGAGGGACCCAAAACTGGACACAGGATTCGAGATGTGATCTCAGAGGGCCAATCACTTTCCTAGTCCTGCTGGCTACAGTATTTCTGATATAAGTCAGGTTGCTATTTGCCTTCTTGGCCACCTGGGCACACTGCCCGCTCATGTTCAGTGGCTGTCAGCCAATATGCTGCAGACAAGAGCAGTTAATCCCAGGGACAACTGCAGTTGCAAAATTCACGATCTTGACAGCCTGGCAAGTAGTCCTAAGAAACTGCAGCATGAAAGAAAGCCTGTATTGTCAACTATGATACAATTCATACACGTGATGTTTTTCTCTGAAAGTTAGTTGCTGGTTTATGCGCTTATCAGATTTACACGCACACACACACACCCGCCCCACCTTTTATGGATGTTCTCAGCTAGTTTCTCTGTAGAGATGGTCTGTGGAAAGATGAGGTGACTGAGGGCACCTGGCTGTCAGCTGCCCCTAGACCACTGCGGCGTAGTTGCTGCTGTGGTTCTACTGCCTGCGACAGCTTTAAGCCCAATCCTCTCTTTCTCACCTGTGAGTGCCCAAACATATAATTCTGGATGGCAAAATGTAAGAAAAAACAAAATTAAATCAATTTGTCTGGGCAGTCAGAGCCCTCTTCACCCCACAGACATAGAACAGACAACATTGTTTTGATGAATTCCTTTCACCCGGAAACACAGAGACAGGGGAATAGAATCACTTCATTAATTCCTGTCAGTTTTGCTAAATTGTCTCATTTTTCTCTGTTTCCTTTTAGGATCCTCCTATCTCAAGTTAAAATCCCCAGAGCTACAGAGATACCCTCCTCTCACTGCCTGTATCAATGCCAGCCTGAGAGAGCCTGGAAAAATCATGGTAGTACTACACAGGATGTAGCTGGCAATACCTTTTCATTTTGTGTGATGTTGATGGAAGGATATCAAAATATTGCTACAGTTTTCAGTTTCTGAATAATAGGTGACAGAGTAAAGGCAGGATTTTTTTATTTCTCATCCCTGCTGGCCCTTCCCTGTAGACCAGCTCTCCCATAAGCTGTGCAGCTGGAATGATCTCACTGAAGATCCAGGACCTGTCCCTGGAAGACCTCACCCTCTGATGGACGCAGCAAAAAAAGGTGCTCTGCACTGGACCTTTGCTATGGGGCAGAGCAGGGACATTGCCTTCTGTGGGTAAGTAAGTAGGAGACTGGTCCCCTCTTATTCTCACGTTCCTGAGGCATACACAGGAAGATACTACTTGCCCAGCTCCATCAGGGAACAGTAAGAACAGAGCAGAAGCAGCAAGGAGGTCAGAACAGATGACAGTGTCTGCAGATCTGCAGTGTACTGCATCATATCTCACTTTGGCCTCACCTGCACTGGGGCTGCAATCTTGGATGTGTTAGCAGGAAGCTTGTCAGTCAGCAGTGTAGGTGCCAAGTAGGGAAACCACATTCCTCTGCAGCCTCTAGCACCTACCACATGGTGACACCTGCAGCTTCAACGTCCAGATCAGGTTTGTCATTACATTAAGCTGAATGCCATGTTTCTTCTCACTCCAACCCAGTACTGCACTCTTAGGCAGTGCACCTGCAGCACCCTGCCCTGCCTGGATATCACTGCTGTGTTGACTGTTACCTGTATAGACAGGAGACGCAGACCTAGCACTTCTTTTGACTACAGTTGCTACACACATTAGAAGACAATCCTGCAGGATTATTCTGTTCAAGTCCTGCTTCTCCTGGCCAGTTGCAGCAGCAGGAGGCTTCTGGCCTTAGGATCAGCAAAATGAATGATGGAGAAACTTCTGGATACCCTGAATGCATTTTTTTGCTTGTTTAATTTAATAACATCTCAATTAGTCTGTTCCTTTGCCTTACCACCTGCCATTAGGCTTCTTTAGAAAGTAATACATACCCCTGGCTGTTGGTGGAGTTTTGGAGGATTAGTTTAGCAGGATGTTTCCCTTGGTCACACACACACTGTACCTGAGGATTCATGTTATAAACAATTTCATGTATGACCTGATACGTCTGTCTGACAGATAACAATTCATTTAAGAACACTGATCTGCCATTAATGTTGTCTTTCCCCAGGCACAGTATAGCAGCTTCAGCTATACAGCTGTGGCTGGGGAGTAAGAGAACTCAGGCATATCAGTTCATGCAGAAAAGACACGTTCTGATTAAAATCCCAAACGAGGGGCAACAGGAACAAGAGATGTAACAAAACCTCTTTTTACTTTCCAGCAAATACCAAAGTTTGCCTTCAAGTCTAAATTTCTGTGGGGCAGCTTGAGAAATGGTAACTGAATGACTATTAGGACATGTTCCTGTTTTAAACAATAAGAAAATCCCAGGATGATATCTGTATATCACACAAGTTCTGCTCTCTACAGGGTGAAAACCTGGTTTAAATACCCGAGGAATATATAAGCATTAAACTTTGAAACAGGAAGTTGTAGACTCTGAATAATTACAGCACTATTTTATAGGCACCAGTCTATCAATGATTAGCCAAAGACTTTACAGTTTAAAATGTGTCACTGTGTTTTGTAACTAAAGATAGAAACATAAATAACCAGAATTCAATCCTTAAAGATTTAAAAGACCCTGCTTCAGCCAGAGCAAGGGCATGTGTCAGGAGTACATGCATCATTCTCCTGGAACCAAGAGTCTACAAAAATAGTGTTGACCTCGTGGCTTTGATACACTGTCAGCTGCTAGTAGAAGCCTGCAGGGACAGCATGGTGCAAGCTGCTGTCTTCAGATGTTTCTTTCTGTAATTTTGCCTTCTTTCCCTCCCCTCCCCCCCCGTCACAGGCTTCATGTTGAATTGCAATGCCTTTTAACTGAAACACCTACTATCAGAAAGGACTTGCGAACCCTCTAGTTCGCCGTCCCATTATTCCTGGTAAGGCCGTTCCAAGCCATTCATCATCTCATGCTTTACCCAGGCTGGATATTCTGGGTCATGTGGTTTCCACTCTTACAGGAGGATCATAAAACTATAACATAAATACAGATGTACTGGATCGGGCTGGCAGCCCATCACTCCAGGACCCATTTCTGATGGTGGCCAACAGCAAGTGCCTACACAGGAGTACAAGGGGACGTGACACTTCCCCTGAACACTCTCACACACTTTGCAGCTCAGTGACTTCCTGGGCCAGAGGTCTTTTTACCCAATCACCTGTGGTGGATTTTTCTTCTATGATGTTGCACATTTTGTTCTGTATCTATGGGAATATTTCACATCCACAGCCTCCTAAAGCACAGAGGTCAACATTTTATGAGAAAAGCACCTCTTCATCCCTATTGGAACAGAGCAGCTACTAATCTCTTTTGATGACTTTCATGCTTATATTGGCAAAGACAAAGAACTGTCATTTGCTAGTCATCTTTTCCATGCCTCTCAGGATTTTACAAAGCTTTGTCAGACCTCTCTTCAGCCACCTCCTTCTCAGGCTGATGAGCCCTATCTGATGTTGCTAATCCTGCACAGAAGCTGTTCCATTGAACCTCTTCCAAACTTGCCCAGTCTCTTTCATCAGCTCTGAGACTTGCACATGATATTGAGGTGAGATGTACCAAAGGGTTAATGAAGTGGCCTCAGGACACTGATTACCTCTCTGTCCCTTTTCCTGTGCAACTATTCTTAACAGTGCATTTGCTTTTTTGGACTACAATTCAGACCAGACCAAAGAAGTCCACTCAAGGACCTGTTCAACTTCATTTGTGATTAGACAGATCTCACCATTGACTTTTATTCTCTGCTGACTATCTTTCAACCAACTCCTCATCCATGCAAGAACTCAATTTGGTGACAGACTAC